CCTTAACCCCAAATAACCTACCCTCTTTTTGGGACTTATATAAAGAAATCATATTAGGGGGCCCTAAAAAAGGTAGATTATGTATGGGCTAAGGGACTAAGGGCATGCTATTCTTCACTTGCAGGGAAATGAACTAAGACAGGGAAACCCTGCACTCTCAACCCACAGTTCTCAACCCTAAACTACTATTTGCTTAAGAACCCCCCAAAAAAATAGAAAATATATTCCTTATGGGGGTAATATAGGGATTATTATTTTTATTTTTTGTGGGTTTCTTAAGCAAACAGTAGTAAACCCTAAACCCCATGCCCCGGAACCCCCGGGCTCCCCGGGCTCCTGCCACTTCCGCCCGGCCGAGCTCCTGCCAGGTCCGAAGGGCGTGGTCCGGCCTGGCCAATCTTTTGATACGGGAGTTTCCGAAAATCAGGGGTACCTGTAAAAGGGATCCTTTAAGGGTTCCGCTAAAGGGATCTATAAGGGTTCTATAAAGTATCCGGCCTGGCAGGTCTTTTGATGTCAAAATTAGGGTCCCTTTTTGGGTACCCTAAACCGCAAACCCCCCAAATCTAAAAGCCCTAAACCCTAAACCCCCTCAATCCTAAAAGCCCTAAATGGGTAGTTGTCAAAAATATGGCCCCTTTTGGGGCACCCTAAATATTAGGCGCCGTGCTATATTAGGGACCGAAAAAGGGTTCCTATCAAGGGATCTAGAAGGGTTCTATAAAGGGTTTAGGGTTTGCAGTTTCCGGGGTGAGGGGGGGTTAGGATTTAGGGTTTAAGGTTGAGGGTTGAGGGTCTCCAAAACCCTGAACCCGTAAAGTACCGGCAATAGCCTTACAGCCTTGCAGTAACCTGTCATAGCAAGTTGGAGATTCAATAAAATCTATACTGAACTTAGAATCCTAGCAAAAATTTATAATTCTAGCTGTTTCTTAGGGAATATAATAACCAAAAGTTAAAAAAATATTTCTAAGTACCCCTAAGAAAATCAGTCTGCGGTTCAGGGATTCGGCTTGCCGGGGGTTCTCGGCTTCTCAGGCGTGCGCCGAGGACTGCTGCCAATTAGGGCTGGGGTCCGCGTTTCCGGTTGGGAACAGTGAGTTTCGTTTCGCACTACACCCTAAACCCTGAACCCCTAAGCTTAAAGTACGTGCCTTAATCAATTGCTCCTGAGCACTTTTTTGTATGGCTCAGTGCGGAACTCACAACGTCGCGAGTTCTTCGGCCCACTCACCCGTAAGTCAACCTGTACAAACCACCCTATGTGTTATATTTTTGTATATTATATCTGTTTATCTGTCTGTCTTTTCTTATAACCCTGAAGAAGACTGTACCATCGAAAAGTTTCAACTTCAAATCTCCCGAAACGTACAAAAAATCTCCCAAAACGTACAAAGAATGCAGAGAGAAATCCCTTCTTCGCCTATTCTCGTCGCTGGCCGCGATGACGACATCAGCCAGGCCACGCTGGTCCAACCTACTCTTTAGGGGTATTTAGAAATATTTTTAATTTTTGGTTATTATAAGAAATTAGTTTTAATTTTTGGTTATTATAAGAAATTAGTTTTAATTTTTGGTTATTATAACCCCTAAGAAACAGCTAAGATTATAAATCTTTTCTAGGGTTCTGAGTTCAGTATAGGTACTGGCTCGGATGGAGTGCTGGGGGGTTCTCTTGATGTTCCGAAACGGTGCTGCAGAGTTCAGGGGTTTCCGGGTGATTGGAATAAGGTTTGGCATTCAGGAACTCAGGACGCTTTTCTGATGGCTGTGGAGAGGCCTGGATGTGGCAGATTGGCTTTAGGCCGTAGGCTTCGGGATGCCTCATGTCTCGGGCTCTTCAGGTTCATAGGGTTTAGGGCCTGCTAAGTCGAGTTTACCCTTAACGTCTGTGCAAGAGGGCTTAGGGTGAAGTGTGTACAGAAATCGTTAAGGGTTTGAGTGTCGAAAAGCTTTGAACGAAAGTGCTGAGCAGGTTTTTCTTTTGCACCCCGCTTTCCACGCTGGGGGTCTGGGCTGTGCTTTGTTGGGCTGGGCTGGGCTCGGTTTCTTCTTGTTGCGCCTTCATTCCAAGGTACCCAAACCCTAAAGCTGCAACTTGTTCAAGCAGGGTATTTAGAATGCTGCTGGGCCACCATGCTCGGATGTGCTCTCCGCGCAGGAAACGGTGAAACAATCCGACATAAAGAAGGACTCCAACCTCAATTCTCGCCCCTCCCTTCGCATGTCCTGGATTTCTCTCGTCGCCCCACTCAGCTCATACCCAAAAGACTCTTGAGCCTAGCAACCCCAGTAGCTTGAAGGAGTCCTGCAATAGACCCCAAACCAAAAGGGCATCTTGCTACATGAGAGCTCCCGGCTCACCTTTACCATGACACAGGCCTACGCAAAGTCATGAGACCCCGAGCATCAGGCGGGCTTACGGCACAGGCTTGGGGTATCAACAACACAAAGTCATTAACATACCTGTTCATCAGAGAGTCCGGCACCCCAACTCTCCGACACGAACCCGATAACCCCAAAGCCCCGGGACCCATGAAGCCTAAACTCACAACTCGCTACCCTCAACCCTTAAACCCCGAACTCCAACCCAAAAGCCTGCAGCCAGAAATCCGACCCCCAAGCCGACAGCTTCAAGGCTGAATCCTGAACCCAAGCCCGAAAGCCTGAACTTTGAACCCCCATGGCCTCCCAAAGCCCTAGACCCCGAAACCCGAAAGAACCCAAAATGCTAAGCCCGAGGCAAGCCCTTGCTATTTCACAGAACCTCCCCCTAAAGCTCATAGCACCTTCATACTGTTGATGATATAAATCCTGCATTACCCATAATAAGGAACATACCATAATTCCCATAGTACAGGGTCCTTAAGGTCATGCAGGATTTATATCATCAACCGTAGCACCCTGTATAGAATCTTTCGGGACCCCAAAACCAGAAGACAGGACCCCTGCTCGTCCCGAAGGCGGGCGATCACCTGGGGATTGGGCTCGGAAGCTTGGAGGTCATGGGTAGTTATAAGGGTTCTTAAGGGTCCCTTTAAAGGGATCTATAGGGATTCTATAAGGGTATAGGGTTTAGGGTCTACTTGGAGGTTCATGGGTAGTTCTACGTGGGGTTTTGAGAAAGGCAACCATAAGAATAACTCATATAACCCCACTTATAACTACCCATGAACCTCCAAGAGGAGGTGACCAGGAGATTAGTATAGGGGCCTTGAACAATCAAGGGCTCCTTTTGACGGGGTCTTTAAGGATTACTACAAGGGGTAGTGTCGGGGCCTAGTTCAGGGGGAATACGATTTTGGTGCTCCTTATTAAAATTATAGTATGATGGGCCCCAAAACCTTTTTCTAGTTATTAAGGCCCCAAAATTAGCACTTGCTTTATTCAAGGACAGGCAAAGAAGTCCGGGCTTGACGAGTTGACGGGTCGATGGGGATGCGAAAGAATCGGACTTCGGGTCCAAGGGTTTAGGATTTGGGCTACTTAGGGTTTAGGGTTTAGGGTTTAGGGTTTTGTGGTTGGTTGAGGTGGGGTGCTGCATGTAGGTTTTGTGCTTGCAACTCCTTTTATCTAGAACTCTGATCCGAAATCCTGCTGCCCCCAAACCCAAACCCCTTCAAGCGAAAACCCCAACCTCAAGACTTTCCAGCCAAAACTCCAATAAGACTCTTCCAGATACCCTGACCGAGCCCGACAGAACCCGAAAACCTTGCAACCACCAAAACTCCTGTGAAACTCTTCTAGACTTCTTACAGATGAAGTGGAATCCACAGAACCCTGAACTCTGGAACGCTTCCGCCCAGGACTCGTAGTTATGAAAGACCTCTTACGCAAACCATATAAGGTACACCCGGCAGAACCCTAAAATCCTCAACTCAAATCCCGAGATTCTACCTGGAACTCTACGAAGCCGAGGCGAGGGCCCTTGCTTGCTGCGCAACGTCCACCTTGCAGCCTTCCTGCGGCTCGGGGGTTTCGCTCTTAGGGCATTAAGGGCACCCCTCAGCCCCAAACTCTAAAGCCTAAACGACTTCTAGAAGGTTCAGAATGTTAGGGTCTCGAAGGCTTCGGCTTCAGGGCTTCAGAGACAGGATCTCGCATTTTAGGCTTTGAGGTTTAGGGGTTTAGCGCTTCCGCGTGTGAGGCCTCAGGAATTGCTCAGAAGGGCTTGAGGGGGGTCAAGAGCTTGGAGAATTGGAGCTTTGGCGGTTGGATTGATCCGGTGTTGAAGAGCAGCAGCAGCAGCAGCAGCAGCAGCAGCAGCAGCAGCGGCACTACCTGCACTCTGCTGCTGCGTTCAGGGTTGCTGTTGAATGGGGCTTCCTGAGGATCGGGGGGCTCAGTAAGTAGGACTGATAGGGAGCGGGTAGTATTATGATTGTTCCTTCATATGACTCCACTGAACAACCCAGTTAGCAGTTTTCATGTTCCATCAAATCCGAGTCAAACGTCAGGCCGAGATTCCGCTGAAGAATTGAGGCCTTCGAGCTTCAACAGCTGGATGCTGCGGGGGATAATGCCCCAACCGCTAGGATGTCCTCCGCTGCATGCATGTCCTCTGCGGTGTGCCTCTCATATCTCCCTAGACATGGCTGGCTTCCCCAAGCCATACAGAACTACACAATAAGTCCAGCCTTAACACCCGAAACCCTAAAACCTATCATAAGTCCAAGCCCACCCTGCAGGCAACATCGCACTACAATTCGTAGGACTGGAGCTTCGGGTCTTCAGTCTTAGCAGTTGCAGCTGAATCTAAGACGTAGAGTTTCGGGCGTTGGGGATGAGGTTTGGGGTTTAGGGTGTAGGTCTTCGGGTTTAGGGTTGTTTAGGGTTTAGGGTTTGGGGTGTAGGTTTTCGGGTTTAGACCTCACGGCGCTAGGGGTTTAGGGTTTGGGGTGTAGGTTTTCGGGTTTAGACCTCACGGCGCTAGTACTGTGCTCACCTTTTTGCCAGGAGCTTACATCTCGGAGCCGGCCTGGCTCTATCAGATCAGTATCTCATGCGGCCGGCTCCTCCGAACGCGTGTCCTGTGATGCCGTCTCCGAGACGCCTGCCAAAAAGAGGCTGACCTTCAACCCGATCTGAGGCCACTTTTTGCTCAAGTCAGCATAGGCCGGCAGTAAGAGCACCTGACCTGCTTTCGCTTTGATAAAGGAGAGACAGGCCTTTTCCAGCTGCTTCGCCTGAAAGAGATGTGCCTGGACGAGAATGCTGCAGACCCTTGATGCATTGATTTCTTCGGAAAGTTTTGCTTCGCACCATAGTTGAAGCCGTTTCACTTGATATTTGTGGCTCACAACCAAGAGTGCCTGAATCTGTGACAGCTGTGGGTCACAGCTCCCGTTCTCGGACTCCTTTGAGGCTGCCGCCAGAATCAGCGCCTGGGCGTCCGGCAGTCGATCGGTGTACAGAAACTGTAGAAAAGCTTTGAATGTCACGACATCACAATCCTCGATGACGATGACCTTGGAAACGCTCTCCTGCATGCCTGCCGTCAGCTGCTTTCTGAAGACCTCGGATCGTGCACAGAGAACCTGCGAGTGCGCCTGGATCACCTCCTCCTGCACCATCAACCGCACGTCGCTGCAACTGCCTTCCTCCAAGAGTGCGCACATGTCGTCGGTCATCGTTGGCTCGGGAACCTCTGCGGCAGGGGTCGAGGATTCCGACTCTGGCCCTGCTTCAGGAAGGACTTCAAGCTCGAATTTCACGGTCAATGTGTCATCCATCACCCACTCGGACTGCAGCAGCTCCTCATAGCTCAGCCCGAAGATGCCCTGCGAACCAGGAGGTTCATCATCCGGCCAATGCACATCAGGGCCGAATGCCAGAGGCTGATGTGTGCCATCGTCGGTGCCATAGTGGATGACATTTTGGGTCCCGTCCCACTGCACGAACTCTCCATGCTGTGCCTTGATAAAGATGCGATATCGAAGCACAAAAGTGCTAAATGTGTCCACCACTATTCCAAGAGACCCATGTGGCCCAGCATCATCGTCTAATGGGGGCCAGTCATCTTCTTCTCCTTCTTCAACAGACGCATAATAATCTCCCCAGAACATCCTGCTAGCCACTGGGTTGAATGCAAACTGGAAGGGAACGTCGCCCAGTTCGAAGATCGGTGACCACACTGAACATTCCGACATCTGCTGATCCAGCGCCAGTTTCAACCAGGAAAACCCTGTGATCCTCCATACGTACTCGCCCCGGACGACCGTCTCCGCACAGTCGGTGCTTGCTGCACCACTCCCTTGCATCACAGAGTCGAGGGGACGTTTCGGTCGAAACTTTCCTGAAATGTCCTTATCGATGTACTCTCGGAAATCAACCTTATCTCGATTGGATTTCTGTGCCTGCATGTGCCGCTCTCTCGTTCTTTCCAGCTCTCGCCGCAGCCACTGCCGCTCCTCGGCTTCCTCGATGTCGACTAAAAGTTCTTGCCTCCTTGCCTCCTCTGCTTCGGCTTCTCGAAGGGCGGCCTGGATCTTGGCTCTCAGCTCCTCGGCAGACATCCCGGCAAAGCGGCGAGCGCTCAAGAGGACCCAAGTCCTCACACTCAACCTACCTGCCGGAGCTGCGGCAACGTAAATAAGCTGTAGTATTGGCGGTGGTGGTGGCGGTGGGGGTGGCGACGATCGATGGGTGTGGTGGCGGTGGCGGCTATGTGTGTGGTGGAGGTGGCAGCGGTCGCGGTCGCGGGAGTCCTCAGTAGTCAGTAGTCGTAGTCGTAGTCGTAGTAGTAGTAGTAGTAGTAGTAGTAGTAGTAGTAGTAGTAGCAGTAGCAGTAGCAGTAGCAGTAGCAGTAGTAGTAGTAGTAGTAGTAGTAGTAGTAGTAGTAGTAGCAGTAGCAGTAGCAGCAGTAGCAGTAGCAGTAGCAGTAGCAGTAGCAGTAGCAGTAGCAGTAGCAGTAGCAGTAGCAGTAGCAGTAGCAGTAGCAGTAGCAGTAGCAGTAGCAGTAGCAGTAGGAGTTGGAGTAGGAGCAGGAGCAGGAGTAGGAGTAGGAGTAGGAGTAGGAGTGGTAGTAGTAGTAGTAGTAGTAGTAGTAGTAGCAGCAGCAGCAGCAGTAGGAGTAGTAGTAGTAGTAGTAGTAGTAGTAGTAGTAGTAGTAGTAGTAGTAGTAGTAGTAGTTAGTAGTTGGTAGTAGTAGTAGTAGTAGTAGTGTAGTAGTTGTAGTTGTAGTTGTAGTTGTAGTAGTAGTAGTAGTAGTAGTAGTAGTAGTAGTAGTAGTAGTAGTAGTAGTCGTAGTAGTAGTAGTAGTAGTAGTAGTAGTAGTAGTAGTAGTAGTAGTAGTAGTAGTAGTAGTAGTAGTAGTAGTAGTAGTAGTAGTAGTAGTAGTAGTAGTAGTAGTAGTACTAGTAGTAGTAGTAGTAGTAGTAGTAGTAGTAGTAGTAGTAGTAGTAGTAGTAGTAGTAGTAGTAGTAGTAGTAGTAGTAGTAGTTGCAGTAGTTGCAGTTGCAGTTGCACCTGCAGCTGCAGCAGCAGCAGGAGCAGTAGCAGTAGCAGTGTCAGTAGCAGTAGCAGGAGCAGCAGCAGCAGCAGTAGCAGCAGGAGCAGCAGTAGCAGCAGCTGCTGCGAAAGAAGGAGGAGGACCAGAGAGGAGCAGGAGGGTTCGAGGAGGAGGAGGAGGAGGCAACAGCACCTCTACATATCATTATCACAAGAATACAATACGATTGGTGTCAAAACCATTAGAACGCCTGCCCCTAACCTCAAGTCCAAAACCCTGCGCGCGACATCTGACTGCACCTGGTCATGCGGGAAGCTCCACCAATCCTGGGCGAAATCTGGAGTCGATACGTAGGTTGAGGGCATTTAAGTTCCGGGCTTCCGACTCACGTCTTTCAAAAGGAAAAGTGTGTACAGTGTGTACGGCTGCAAGGTTTAGGGTATGATAATTATTGAATAGATGTGTGCCGGAGTGGCGTGGTATAAACCCTTAGTTTTTAGGTTGAGGGACTAGGGACTAGGGTGACAACACGTTCACCACTCCACTGACACACTTTACCGCTTCTTGCCGAAGAATCTGAAATGCTGTCTCCGAAGGCCTCAGCCCAAAAACCATCCACTTATCTATACTGAACTTAGAACCCTAGCAAAAATTATAATTTCAGCTGTTTCTCAGGGATTATAATAACCAAAACTTCAAAATTATTTCTAAGTGCCCCTAAGTTATAGACCCTAAACCTCACTGTTTGAGGCCCCCTGAGTAACCCGAAGCCTGCTAGAGCCGCCAAAGAGGCGGCAGAGGGCTCGTTAAAGGGCGCCACGGAGCGCACGGGCCTGGGTTTCGAATGGAGATTAAGGGTATACCATACTCTGAAACTATGTAGGGACTATAAGCAGAGTAGAGTTAAAAATGTATTCATCGTATTTAGAAAGGTTCGAGTACCGGCGCTCCTAATTCGGGATGCGAAGCTGCAGGCTTGTCCGGGATTCAGGCTTCGGCAGGTCCGCTCTCAGGGCTTGGGACTTCGAGCGCAGGGTGCAGATGGTGCAGAATGTAAGATATTGTGAATAGGGTCAGATACAGATCGGAGTTCATGGTATAGGTGCTTTAACAAAACTCGATAGAGTCTTGCGGTACATTATAGTCTGACTATACTAAGGAACCCGATGCATAATATTGGTAATTGCTCCGGCCTCTATATTACGGCTCAAGGGCTCCGAACCTGAACCCGAAACCCCGCCTGTTATAGCTGGTATCGCCCAATGCCCTTCCCTTGAACCGTCAGCCGGCATCAGAATAAGCGAGAAAACCCCAAATAAACGAATGCCAGCAGTCCGTCAGCACCTTTAGTGGGTCGGGGTTCCTAACCGACGCACCATTCTAGACCTACAACGTGTACTCCAAACCAGACCATGCAAATGTCCATACCCATGGCCCTGTTAAAAGCTACAAGGCCTCGGAGTTTGTCTACACTGGAACTACCAAGAGAGCCCAATACCCCTTAATTAAGGAATATAGCTTAAATCATAATAAGAACCCCGTATAGTTTAAGGTACATTCCTTAATTAAGGGGTATTGGGCTCTCTGGGTATGCCAAGGAATAAGGTTCCAAGCAACATCATTCTCAGGATCGCTGGGCACAATCTGGAGTAAACGGAACCTTGCACAAAAAGCATTCATCCACGCAGAGTCAACACCCGATCGACCGGCAAACGAATGTACGATGAAGTTTTTGTATATTATATATTCTAGACCCAAGAGTAACCCAGGCATAAAAAGGATGCCCTTTTTGGTTTAAAGGGGATTATAAGGGAACCTGAACCCTAAAAAAGGGAATAAGGGCCTACTCTGGGTCCTAGTATACAGAAAATAACACACTACAGGCCCGAGTTTTTCGGCTTTCCGTTTTCGCACTGTGAGAAAAGGTTTCACTAGAACCGCATATCTACCTGATGCATTTACAGGATCTTGTGTGAGGCCCACAAAAATTTGGAACCAATACAACGAAGAATGCAAACGGAGCTGAAAGCTTCTGCCGGGAATATGGCGCGCGCACAGTGCATATAGAGCGAAAAAGAGAAAGCCTAGGCCCCGAAGCCAAAGGATCCTGGTCTAGGGATCCTGGACCGGGGCGGGGGGGGGAGAGGAAAAAAATTAAAAAAAAAAAAAAAAAAAACTAAGGGGCGACCGGTATCAGTTGTTTTTTTGTTTTTTTTTTTTTTTTTTGCTCCCCCCCCCCCCCCAAAGCCAGGGACTTTATAGCCAAGCCCTCTGAGCCTGGAGCCAGGGCCGGTGGATTGAGTCTTTGAGTCTCGGAAATGCTTGAAGCCCTGGAGCGACCAAGGAACAGGATCACGAGCAAACGTGGAGTCAAAACTAAAGAGGAACATAGACAGACACGTGCATCTATGTCATTCACAGCCCTCGCCAGCGCATATTGATTCGGGCATGGAGTCATAGGAACAGCTTGCCTTTTTGCTACCCTAAGCTAACATGTGCCATGCATATGTGTCCATCTGCTTTGACACATGTGTCTATGTGTACATACAGAAAGGAGGATTTGTCACATCACAACTCATTCGTGATTTTAAAAATATGTGCCCATCCATCTCTATTGTATGGGTATGTGTGAGTACATGTTAATTACATTAAAACATACATACATTAATATTTAAACAGATGATTGTGGTCAGATTGATACTTGCAATCATATATGCCTCAGGTCTACTCACAGGTATGGCCTGTTGAGCTTTGATTTAATACATATACTCACACACCCAAACAACCGACATATGTCATGCGATAGATATTCGAATCTGGATGTACGCATAGACACCTATGTTTACACATGTGTATGGGCTATGTTTGAATAAGAAGTATCTAGAAGGCGTATGGTTGCACGAGAGGAGAAGATGGGTGGCATCTGCCATATCCTATGAGGGACTACTTTGCCTCCCCCCACACAAAACACAGCCAAGGGTCATCGCGGGATATGACCAAAGAACGGTAGGTATGTGTGGAGACACTCATCATTGATGCCCGGGATAATCGACTGCAAATAGCACCGACATCGACAAGGCCGCGGCACTTAGTGAAACAAATAGTTCTAGAATATAGAAGTTGTCCTTATCTGCATGTATGTATGTTTTGATCTCATTACATGTACTCAAATTACATGTACTGACACGTACCCATACAATAGAGATGGATGGGCACATATTTTTAAAATCACGAATGAGTTGTGATGTGACAAATCCTCCTTTCTGTATGTACACATAGACACATGTGTCAAAGCAGATGGACACATATGCATGGCACATGTTAGCTTAGGGTAGCAAAAAGGCAAGCTGTTCCTATGACTCCATGCCCGAATCAATATGCGCTGGCGAGGGCTGTGAATGACATAGATGCACATGTCTGTCTATGTTCCTCTTTAGTTTTGACTCCACGTTTGCTCGTGATCCTGTTCCTTGGTCGCTCCAGGGCTTCAAGCATTTCCGAGACTCAAAGACTCAATCCACAGGCCCTGGCTCCAGGCTCAGAGGGCTTGGCTATAAAGTCCCTGGCTTTGGGGGGGGGGGGGGGGCAAAAAAAAAAGAAAAACAAAAAAAACAACTGATACCGGTCGCCCCTTAGTTTTTTTTTTTTTTTTTAATTTTTTTCCTCTCCCCCCCCGCCCCGGTCCAGGATCCCTAGACCAGGATCCTTTGGCTTCGGGGCCTAGGCTTTCTCTTTTTCGCTCTATATGCACTGTGCACACACCATATTCCCGGTAGAAGCTTTCAGTTCCGTTTGCATTCTTTGTTGTATTGGTGTCATGCTACATAGTCTTATAATTGGCGATGAGCCAAATCACGCAAAATACATAAAATCCATCTATTCTACTCGAAAAACACGGGCCTGCATTCCGTTACACACTCTATCTATATATATATATATATACACATAATCATAACCCTCAAACATGAGCTTCGTGCCCGTCTACTAAAGACATACAGATATACGTACAGATACATACGATAAGCCAAAAACCAGCAAATCGAAATCGACCCCAAAAACATAAACCCTAAACCATAAAGCCCCGAAGCCGTACACAGTCAGAGAAGGCCCCTATGCTAGAAACTGACTCTCTAGCCCCCGAATCCTTACATCCTGGGCCCATGGCACTCCCCAGCCACTTCGCGCCTGCGATGTCACCTTCGGCTTCGAGATTAGGGTTTAGGGTTTAGGGTGTAAGGTTTAGAGTTTCGGGCTGAGGGTGCTAGTAACTTTAAGGTCCAGGGCTTTAAGGGTCGAGGGAGGCTTGGGGCTCAGAGTTGTGAAGATGGGAAATCCTGACTTCGGGTCCTTGAGGGGTCGCAGAGCATACATACACACACACACATGAGTACATACATACATGTATACATCCATGCATGCATACATGCATACAGACGTACATACACACATTACATACATTACATACAATACATACATTACGTACATTACATACGTACATACATACATACAGACAGACATATGCATTGCACTATAGAGATACACACATACCCGCACACACACACACACACAAACACACACACACACACATACACACACACAAGAACCTGCTCCCCCTGTGATCTGACAACAGCTAACGAAAAGCCACGAGCTCAAACCAAGCAAACCCTGAGCCCAGAAGACCTCAATCCCCTGCGTAAACTCGTCAGCCTCTCCTTGTGGATCCCAGAGAGCCCAATACCCCTTAATTAAGGAATATACCTTAAACTATAAGGGGGTTCAAATTATGATTTAAGCTATATTCCTTAATTAAGGGTATTGGGCTCTCTGGGATCTTAATGCAGACCCTCGGTAACAAGACCCTTCCGTGTAACCCTCACCTGTTGGGTGTGTTACACTCGAACTGTTTATCAGGACGAAAAGTTCGAACTCCAACACTATCCGTAACACCCCAGTCCCGAAGCCTTAAGACATGAATCCTGTGATGCCACAACCCTCGACCTTGAAGAACAAAAAGACCCATAGAACCCCTATACAACCCCATAGCACCCCTTAAGTGAGCCCTCCCTCAGCCTCTCCAAGGTAGCTTGCGAATTCCTGGCTCCGGTCGAGGGATTCCCAGACAACGAGTCCGGGATTTAGAACCCTAAATCCTAAATAGGGTCTCATCTTCCTCTTCAAGAGCAGTTGCGCGGCGTGGGGTCCAGGTAAGGCTTTGGGTTTCGTGGGTAGGGCTCAGGATTCAGAGTTTTCCTGCTAAATGTGAAACTTGCTCTCTTATGTTTCTGAACTATCTATCTATCCATCTACCCTATCTACATATCTACCCACTTATGTACCAGTCTATCTACCTATCTACCTATCTACCTGTCTACCTGTCTACCTATCTACCTATCTACCTATCTACCTATCTACCTATCTACCTATCTACTTATCTACCTTTCTACCTTATACCTATGTACCTATCTACTTATCTACCTTTCTACCTTATACCTATCTGCCTATCTAGCTATCTATCTCGCTTTGGGGCCTTGATGTGAAATGGAAGAACGGGCTTCTTCAGTCAGGTCTCCGTTCAAGGCCCGGGTGCTCCACGTCCAATTCCTAAATACAGAGCGTTACAAGTCAGAATAAAAAACTTTGGTATAGTAGTTATATACTATAATTCATAAGGAACAGTAAAGATAATTGCTCAGGCTTCTACATCACGGCTTTCGAGTTGTCTTTATGGGTTTAAGGGCTCAGAGTTCAGAGCACAGAGACGTCGGGCTTCAGGGCTGAACATAGTAAATTGAAACCCCCAAAAATGCCCGCTACAACAGTGACAATCCTCTTGAAAACGACGGTCATCAAAACGAATCTAAAACGATCAAACCATGAAACCCGGTGATCCAAACCCCTAAACCTCAGCCCTAAACCGACAAATGCCCTTTTCTGGTTTTGCTCATACCACATGCATTCGAGGATCGTCCGGCTGCGCTAAGGCACCGCCAAAAGAAGAAGTTGAATTACTCATCCACCACCTGAGAGGGGCTTTGGGGTTGAAGGGTCCTGAGTTGCCCTGAACCCCTCACGTAGCGGCCTTCAAAATTAGATTAGGGTTTTGGGGCCCATTATACTATAGCTATCATAAGGAACCCCCAAAATAGCATTAGTAATTATCTACGCCCCTATAGTAGGCCCCTAATGCTTAGTTGCTCACCACTTCAGCTACGGTTCTCGGAGCGGGGTTTAGGTCAGAGATTCAGGGTTTAAGGTTCTTGCTGGAGGTTGCATTCCATATGTGACGTTCGAAAGCCAGCTTTTGTTGGAAGTTCCTCAGAGGGAGGGGCCAAGGGCGATAAATAGCACTCCGACCAGCACCGAAACGTCGAGCATGGGCTTCCGATCTGTATCCTAAATCCTAAAAAACCTAAAAACCCGAAACCCCAAACCCTAAAAACCGTAAACCCTAAACCTTAAATTCGAAAGCGTAAGCCTGAATGCTCCGCTTAAGCCTTCTTACGCACAGGAGCGTATTACACCCTGTACGGGAAGACAATAAAAGACTTGACTTGAGGGTGTCAACGAGGCAAATGGTAATAAAGGCACAATTACATCCATTTACAAGTAAGCTCAAAAACTGAAAACAACGTTTCCTTGCATACTTATGAATAAGTACTAACCGATCGTTCCTACGCTTCCGGACCCTCGAGTGCTCGCGTGTGCCCAAGCGGTCGGGGCCACGTTCTGCAGCAAAACAGGGCCATTCTTTTCGTGTGGCTGCTCTAAAGCATGCAGGGTCCCTGTGTGCCCCAGGCGGCCCAAGCAAAATTCTGCAGCAAAACAGGGATATTCTTTTCGTGTGGTTGCTCTAAACTCCGCCCTGTTTTCCGGAAATTCGGAAAAGTGCTGCTGATTTTTGCTTACTAAACTGTGTTCATAAAATGTGCAGTTGAAGCTGGGCCAGGTGCCAATCCTGAGGTCACCTCCTTCCTTTTCGTGTGGCCGCTCTTAGCCGCCTTCCCCATCCCGTGCTGACTTTTGCTTACCAAACTCTGTTCATAAAGCTTGCATTTTAAGGTGGGCCAGGTGCCAATCCTGAGGTTCCCTCCTTTCTTTTCGTGTGGCTGCTCTTAGCCGCCTTCCCAATCCCTAAATTCTGTCCGTCGGAGCCCCAGGAAGAAAAGTACCTTCGAGTGCTCGTGTGTGCCCAAAGGGGTCGGGGCCACATTCTGCAGCAAAACAAGGCCGTTCTTTTCGTCTGGCTGCTCTAAAGCATCCACGGTCCCTGTGTGCCCCAGGTGGCCCAAGCCACATTCTGCAGCAAAGCAGGGCCGTTCTTTTCGTATGGCTGCTCTAAACTGGGTTGGGAGTCTTAGGATCGAAAAATGGACCCTCGAGTGCTCGTGTGTGCCCAAACCACGTTCTGCAGCAATACAAGGCCGTTCCTGTCGTGCCGGTGCTCTCAACCATCCGCGGTCCCTGCGTGCCCAAGGCGGTTGGGAGCTGCGAAGGTAAATCAAAATCTGACCTGGCCAGGCTACCCAAACAGTGATTTCTTGCGACGCAGGCTGCATGATGCAAGATGAGGCGGACACTCACGACGTTCGGTAGCAAATAAATAGCAATATGCACATACCTCATCTAGAACGATGTGCCGTGCGTAGCAGATTAGTGCTTGCGGCTCACGAATACTTTAGCACTGGTTTCTGCACTGCCTGCGACGTGCAAACACAGGCGACAATCATACTGCACTTCAACAACTGTCATCACAGCCCTGCATGTTCCACCTGCCTGCCATGTTCGCCAACGAGCCGCACGGACACGTGCTTCGGATGTGGCGATGTGTCGAGAAACCCACCGGAGTTCTGTGCGATTGAGTAAGCATGTGCTACTGTCAGCCTGCAGACTAACAACATGGTTTTGGGTACGAGCTTGAACCGCACAAGCGTTCGCGCACAGGCCGTTTCACGCAACGTCCGATGCTCGCAACATCTCTCCGACTCTTTTTTCTGCATGCTGGTGCAAGGACTGCACGGGCTTCAGCCACGCAAATTTACGCCGCTGCGGGACGGAAGTGCGTCGGTTTCAACCGACCAAAGAAGCACCACGCACTGTCCTTTCTCACGCGACTGAGCGCCACGAAGCCAGCACCTGGAACGCCTTCTTGATCCAGCCAAAGTGCCATGTACTCCAGCGTGGCGCCTGGCAGCTTGTGTGCAGCGTCGTGGCATAGCCCAGACGCAGTGGGTAGAAGGTCGCCCACGCCGTGCTGCCGTCGGACAGCAGCTGCCTCTCTGTGTGCGGACGCACCACAATGACCTTGTTTGTCGCCGTTCTTACTCTGATGCCGTGCAGTCCAACGGCTTCCAGGATGCAAAACATCCCATCAACTTGATCGCGCTACTTGTCTATGTTGCGGGTCAGCATAAGTTTCATGCCGACATGCAGCGCGGTGTAGGAGCAGTCGTACCTGAGGTACTCGCCGCGATGCTTGTTCTCGCAGTTGGCATATGGGTCCGTATAGGGATTACGCGCACCGGCTCTCGCTCTCCAAATTGGGCTTCAACTGCCATCTGGTTCAAGTGTTCAGCTGCTCTCCGGGCGAACGTTGCCATGGTACCTTCTGGGTGCGCCTGCAGAACTCCTGCTACTTCCAAGCGGGTTGGGTGGTCAGCCTTGTGACGGAGTGTCCGCGCAACATTGCCTGCAGTTGTGCCTCAGTAGGCTGTGAGTCACACAGGAGCGACAACTTCCGGCTCAACTCCGGACACGTGCTGCGCTGCACTTGACGGAGTTCCCAACAGAGAACATACTTCCACAGGGCCACGGACGTGACGAACCGTCTTACGAAAACATTCTCCGACTTCCGTCATACGTATTTTTTGCCACAACAGTTTGGTCGACACACCCTAAACCCTAAGCCTTAAACCCTAAACCCCTAAACGGTGGCCCCAAAACAAAAAGCAGAAACTCCCACAGAGCTTCAACTGCCAGGCTCTGGTCGACTGTGAGTCGACCTGCCGCCTTCAAAAAGGGCATTGAGGCTATAGGCTATACCTTTTAAGCCGGAAAACCTACGGGTTTAGGGTTTAGGGTATACCTGGACCCCAAATAACCTTAGGGTTTAGGGTATACCTGGACATGACCTAGCTTTTCAGGGTTCCTTACTATGATTTCCTTATAGAAGTCCTTAAAAAGGTAGGTAATTCCGGCTTAAGGTAGCGGGTCTACGCTAGAGTCACCTAATATAGGGGCCTCAATAATAAGAACAGGGTATATGGGGGGCCCATTATACTATAGATGTAACAAGGAACCCCCAACACAGTATTGGGAATTATTTAAGCCTCTATAGTACATCTGGAAGTCCTCCAAGCCCGCGGCATCGGGGCATTCGAGAACAGCTCCACCTGCCCAGCCAAACCCCTGAAGCCTAAACTCCAAACCCTACAACCCGGCACCCCAAAACCACAAGAAACAACTATAAAGCCCAAAAAAAAGCACATAAGCAAAAATTAGGATAGGGATATATCCCAAATAAATGCCCTTATAATGAAGCCCAGTAAGGTAGGGATATCCCCATAGAATGCTTATGCTTATGTGCTTTTTGGGTCCCTAAAACCAGGCCCTTCTCTACCAAAACCCTGCCCCCGTACACTCGAGCCGTCAGGGCGAAAGCCCACTGGACAAGGGCTGTAGCAACCCCAAAATAATTCTTTCAAGGATGCCCCGAAACCCCCGAATAAGTTGCTTGTTCCCTTGATACCTAGGAGCCATTATAATTAGAAGAGAGTTTGCTTACATGATGGTACTAATTATATAGAGACTTTATTGTCCTATCATTACAACTTATTCCCGACCCCTATGGTATTGACGGACATCAGTCGGACAGAAAGCGAATCCGACCCCTGAATCCCATAGACCCTAAACTCTAAAAAACAAATTCTGCTGCCACGGCTGCACCTGGTCCACACCGCGCTCGATGGCCAAGTGCAGGAAGTTCCTGAAGGCCCCACGAAACCTTGCCTAAAGTCTACCCCCCGGGCGGTTTAGGGTTTAGGGTTTAGGGTTTAGGGTTTAGGGTTTAGGGTTTAGGAACCTACGCCCCGGGAACCCTTGAACCCGCACCCTAAACCTCATCTTCCTCTGGATGTCTCGCAAAAGCTACCGTTCTGCTTATCCAGAGCCTAAAGTGAGCATGTAGACTGGCTCTGAGAAGTAGGTGTTGCGCAAGCAATCCCAAGCACTATCACAGCGCGACGGTTTTTGCCGGAGCTCTGCAGGAAGAGACCAGAATTTCTCACAGAGGCAGGGTTTAGGGTTCTACTACGACGCCTCAGAAAGAGCCGGTGCCAAAACCGCCACCTCCGAAACACTCTTGTGGCTTAGGGTTCTGGGGCGTGGGGTATTTAAGCATACTGTAAGACGGCTAGGGCCCTTATGTTAAACCCGCAGGCCCCTGCACTTAGGGGCCTTAATAAAAATAGTGGGTTTAGGGTTTAGGGTTTAGGTTATATTATTGTAACCCCCAAAATAGTATTGGTAATCATTTAGGCCCCCACATCCCTAACTCCCCTAAAGTACCCTTATAGTGTCCCTTCAAGGAACCCTTTAAAGGAACCCTACTCTAATTATGTCAGCCCCTACATTATACCCCGCCCCCCATAATACACCTTATAGTCACCTTAATAGGACCCTTTTTTAGAACCCTTTTAAACGAGCCCAAATAGTAAGTAAGATGACCCTTTTTAGAACCCTTTAAAGGAGCCCAAATAGTACGCATTTAGGCCCCTACCTTAGGCACTTTAGGGTTTACAGCCCTTGTATTCAGCCCTAGGGCTCTCTGGGCGTTACAAATGCTACAGTACCTTAACCTAACCTACCGAAACATGCCTTTTTCGTAGGCTCTTGTAATAATCGCTAAGATTTTATGGGGACCCTACAAAGAAGTAGGTTTTGGAGCGTTACAATATACTATAATTGTAACAACGAGCCCTTTAGACTAATACTTGTGATCATATTCCGGCTTCTACATAGTATATTCGAGTACTACTGTCAACTATGCAGACCCCTGTAGGCTATATGAACAGTCCTACTCGGCACGCAACAGCCTCCCTGGCGCGACCACTAGCCCTAAACCTTGAACTGAAAACCTCTTCCAGCCTGAAAGCCTACGACCCTGCAGATCAAAACTCCTGAAAAGCCCGCCTTTGTGCTTCATCGCGGGTCCAGTCAAACTCCCCTCCTGCCACGCCGCAGGTTGAGGCTGTCAAGATTTCAGGACCCTTGGGTTGAACGTTCAGAGCTGAGAGGGCTTAACATAAGGGCCTTAGTAATCCGAGTCGGTGTTTGGGGCGGCACATGATGCTGCAGCTTTTCTGGGGACTACTCGGGGATAGTATTCCTCACTATTCCCAGCCCTATATTGGAGTCTAGGCTTAAAGGCTGACCGGTCTTTACTTCAATGACTTACAATAAACCCCATAAAGTTGGAAACCGGATGAAGGCCAAATAGTGCTGGGATTCCCTATACACTACTCTTAAGGATTGAGGCTATAGGGTTTCCAACTTTTGGGCTTCTACTGTAAAGGCTGACCGGTCTTTACTTCAATGACTTACAGTAAACTCGATAAAGTTGGAAACCGGATGAAGGCCAAATAGTGCTGGGATTCCCTATACACTACTCTTAAGGATTGAGGCTATGCGGTTTCCAACTTTTGGGCTTCTACTGTAAAGGCTGACCGGTCTTTACTTCAATGACTCAAGGCCCACATACTTGGAGGGTCGGGGGACTTAGTAACTGGTTATTTCAGGGACTTATAAGTACCATAACCCCAATTAGGGTCCCTTTTAGGGTACTTATAAGTCTACTTACTACCTACTTACTAAGTCCCTAAACCCCTAAACCCTATAGTACCCTTATAGAGCTTTTTAAAGGAGCCCTTATCATCCCCTTTAAAGCCCGTCCCCCGACCCTCCAAGTATCATCCTACGGAACCCCTCTTGAACTCGAAAGCCGAAGCCCTTAGTTCGCAAGCCTTGGAGCCCTCAGACCCTAACATCTCTAGAAGCTTAGGGAACCCAAAATCTCAAAATTTTGAAAAGATTCTGTCTGAAATCCTAAACTCCTACACCCTACACCCTTACAGAGCTCTTTTAGAACCCTTGCAACCCTAAACCCTAAACCCTGAATCCTGTTGTAGGAACCGCCAGAAGGCACCCGGAACCTCCGGTGACTGGCAGACCGCGCCTGGGAGCGGCTGGTACCCCTCGATCTCAGCAAACCACCCGCGCACCTGAGATCACCGGTTTGGGGGCTTAGATGTTTAGGGGTTTAGGGATTTAGATGTTTAGGGGTTTAGGGATTTAGGTGTTTAGGGCTAGGGGTTTAGGGGTTTAGGGATTTAGGTGTTTAGGGGTTTAGGGGGTTGAGGGGTTGAGGGGTTTAGGGGTTCAGGGGCTTAGGGAGCTAGGGGTTTAGGGGTTTAGGGCATCTGAGATAATTGGCTTATGATGTTGGGCATCTGTTAGAGCGTCTTCAACATTCCAAAGCCTATCCATGGGCATTGAGGACTCGCTGGATCCTGAAGTCTCTGAAGGGAACAAGTGAAAGCTTCTTTCTATGCTGATTCCTATGATGCCTCTACCTAATTGCAAGGCAGCTAGACCCCTGAAACCAAACCCGAAACCCTAAACCCTTAACGCTTAAACCCTAAATCCTGAACCCCTGAACCCTTAACCCTTAAGCCCTGAACCCTAAAACCCCTTAAACCCCTTAGCCCAAACCACAAAACAAAAGAGAGAGCTAAGCCCCTCACCTTGCGCCCGCCGTAAGGATGGCCGGCCTGATGCTGTGGAAGGGGGCAGGGGGGCTTCAGAGGCCAGGGAGCGGTTCTAGAGTTTAGGCTTTAGGAGTTTAGGCTTTATCTAGGGTTTAGCGGTTTAGGGTTTAGGCGTTTAGGGTTTAGGGGTTTAGGATGGGGACTTCAAAGCCCTCTTTGTCGACAATACGAAATCCTTGTAGAAGTATGTAATACATGCGTGCTCTATGCATATAGTGATGTGTGTGTACATGTACGTACGTATAAACATAAATATGCATCCACATGCAAATATGAATACAGATACAAATATCAACATAAACCTAAGCACGAATATAAATAGAAGTATAAACAGAACTACAAATAGAAAACACTTGCCCATATGAGTGTGTAATTGCATATATACATGTATATATATATATATACATATATATGTATAGGTATGTGCAGGGGCCCGGAACAATCTTTCGGTCCTTGCAGGAGGACCTGGAAAATCGCAGTCTTGTCGAGGCCGGCCTCTTTGTCCACCGCTGAAGCTTTGACATTGTGGGATTCCACGTGTGCGCCCAGTTTGATGACGGAGTTCGCCCACATCGTCGACCCTCAGCACAAGACTTGATCTCCATGAAGCGAGGCAAGGTGCGCCGATCATTGGCCTGGCAGGTTTCCTTCTCGAGCCAGGCGAGACTCAGAATCCCCTCCTCCAACCGAACAAACGGCTTAGCGTTCAGGGACTTGGGATTCTACTGTTCTCTGGTTTAACTTAAGGGCATAGAGTTGAGCGCATGGCGGCTTTACCCATCCTAGGGCTGAGGAACTGGGTTTCGGGTGTTGGGTCTAGCGCCATGCCGTTTTGGGTTTAGGGATTGTTGTCTATGGTTGGCGCGCGGAACTGGGAGTTTGGAGACTCCAAATGCCCCTGAAAAGCCAAAACTTGCTGAGCCCTACACCGCAAAACACCGAACTTACAAGGTGCTTTCATATCCAAAACAGCATCTGGGGGGTTGCAGTATAATACAATGACTTCGGGACTACAAGAAGGGGATGTTCTCACTAATTATGCAAATCTCTCCAGTACATCGCGAGGGGAAATTTCAGGAGCCATTCAACTGCTAAATCTAAACTAAAACCCGCACTGACACCCAAACCCTAATTCTTATGATCGCACTTGAAGCACGGAGAGCTTAGTAATCAAGAGGTCTGCATCAAGGAGGAAGTTCCAAGAGTCCATGGAAAAAGCCTCCGAAGGCAGGCCCTCCAGGGTTGTGGGTTTAGGGTTTGGGGTCGAAGTTTTTGGATTTACCTAGACCCTGAAGAACCTACCTTTTTAGGGTTCCTTATTATGGTTTCCTTTTGGTAAGTCCTTAAAAAGGGTAGGTTATTCCGGGTTAAGGTAGGGCCTCTACAGATTGCTCCTTTTGCGGTTTTGGCATTTTAGGGTGTCCGGGCTTACGACTTTAGGGTGCCAGAGCTTAGGGTTTCGAAATGTCTAGGTTCGAAGGTTTCGGTTGCAGTAAACCCCCGAACCTGAGGCCCTGAACCCCCAAACCGGTAAACCATTCAACCTCCGTCAACCCTCAACCCTAAACCCTAACCCTCAACCCTAAATCCTAAACCGTAACCCCCGACCCTAAACCCTAAACCAGAACCCTCAACCCTAAACCCTAAACCCTAACCCCCAACCCTAAACCCTAACCCTCAACTCTAAACCCTAAACCCTATACCCTAAACCCCTAAATTCCTAAACCCTAAACCCAAAAAGGACCCAAAGAAACCGAAAGCAGTGCCTGCTCTTCAGGTCGGCCACAACCTCCGATGTTGTAACCTCTGGGGTTTGGGGGTTAGGGGTTTCGGGGTTTAGGGTTTAGGGTTTAGGGTTTAGGGTTTTAGGGTTTAGGGTTTAGGGTTTAGGGTTTAGGGGTTTAGGGGTTTAGGGGTTTAGGGTTTTGGGTTTAGGGTTTAGGGTTTAGGGTTTAGGGTTTAGGGGTTAGGGTTTAGGGTTTAGGGTTTAGGGGTTTAGGGGTTTAGGGGTTTAGGGGTTGGGGGGTTTAGGGGTTTAGGGTTTAGGGTTTAGGGTTTAGGGTTTAGGGTGTAGGATGTTGTTTTGGCGGGCGGGGCTCACAAACGTATTTAAAAGTGGCGAACGTCACAGACTTCAATACTACCCATAGATAATGGGCGTTTTTCACTATCACAAACAATCACGCAACAGAGCTAGCAACGCCCACAGCAGGGAGTTGTGGGGCCTCGTTCATGCTAACCCCGTCTGAAAAAGAAATGTTCATTTGTGGGCTAAGCATCATGTCTGAAAGTAGGGAGCTGGACAGACGAAAACTAAGACTTCCTGAGGCTCTGGTTGAAAGCTCTACTATGGTTGCGACATGGGAAGCCCATGATGGTAGGGTGCACCATCCAATCTACAGAACTGCATACAGCCATAAACCAATAAAATTGAGGGGAGGACGCATCTCGAAAAAAGCCGTCCTCTCCCTTGTCTGGTCCAGAAAGCTTCGGCTACAAGTGTCCGTACAGGTGTCTTAGGAGTTGCCCTTTTTCCCCCTACTTTCGTCCGCCAACCAAACAACCAAACCAATAAACCCGAAGCCGTAAATGCACCCTACATCCAAAAGCCTGGACAATCAAACCAACTGCCCAAAACCCTATTCATCTCCTCCACGTTTATATAAACCCTGAATGATTGAGGGAGACGACCTAAAACTTAGGTGGGGCTTTATTGGTGTTCATGGTGCTTAGAACATGTGGTGTTCTCCTTGCTTGAGAAATCTACTTCAATCTGTGTAGGAATCCTTGTGATGTCAGGCATACTCCTGGGTTAGGGTTTAGGGCTTCGAGGTTTAGGGTTTCGGGTATGTAAGGTATACAGTTTGGTTAAGGGTACGGTGTTCTCTGGGCTCTATAACCGCTATACCCACTACACATCACCTTTTAACATTCGTTCGCCCTGTTCCTCTCCTTCCCGCAAGGCGCAACAATACCCTAAATCCTAAACCCCTAAAACCCTAAACCTTTAACCCTAAGCCTTAATTAAACCCAACGACCTTCTCGTCCTAAACCCTGCAGTCAAAAAACAAACACCCGTGTAAACCAAGGCTCAAGACCTAAACCAAACCTTTGTAAACCAAACTAATCCGAAACACTAGACCCCAAAAACCCGAAAATCTGAAACACTAACAAACTAAACTGTAAAGAAAAAAACGCTGTAAACATTCACCACAGGAAAAGTCACAAGACGAACGAGCAGCTAGAAGCATAGTCAAAGTAAACCAGAGAAGAAAAAGCTTTCTCTAGGGCTAAACCCTAAACCCTAAACCTCTAAACCCTAAACCCTTAAACCCTAAACTCCTAAAACAAATGATCTAAGGCTCGAGCGTGCAACGCTCAAGCCAAGACCAGGTACGGCCGGTGGCCTCAAAGTTGGCCAGGTTTTCGGGATTTAGGGTTTAGGGTTCAGGGTTTTTTGGGGGGGTTTAGAGTTTGGGGTTTAAGGTTTAGGGTTTTATGGGGGTTCAGGGCTGTGCTCAGTTCGCCGAAGACCTTGATGAATGGAATAAACTTTTTGGGCCTTGGGGTATATTTATGGTACAGTGATGTAGGGATGGAAGGGGAGACTCTTACTAGCTATTCAGGCAGAGCCAGGCAGAGCCTAGAATCCATTGATTCATGCTCTCGCTGCTGTCCACTGCAAGCGTTGCTTGTGCGATGCTATGTTGATGACGATCACTACTCTCACTGCGGAGACGCAAAATGACCATTCCTGACCGTTCCGTGTACTATCACTAACTCGTTAATCGTGAATGCAGATACAGCAGTGGCATTGGCATGGGGAAATCTGTGAGCTACTACTTGTGTTCACTACTAATGCTATGGCTGCTGATACTCCTCCTCCTCGTCCCTAAAACCCGAAACCCTAAACCCCCAAACCCTAGACCCTAAACCCTAAACCCCCCTGTTCGTCGACCCGGTCTTCCGTGGCCCGGACATGTAGGGTCCAGCCCAGGCTGGCCACAAGGTGGACAGCGGAACCTGGGCCATGGGCGCGGCGGCTGTAGGGCTTAGTAACAAAAATAGTAGTGATAACAAGACTGATAATAACAATAATAAAAAAACAGAGCAAGAGTAAGAAGGAGAAGAACAGTAATAACAACAATCATCATCGCAACAAGAAAAAGCAAAAAAAAACAAAAAAACACTAATAATATTAACAAGAGCTCAGAATAAGAAGCTTAAGAACCATATTTAGTAGGGCTCGGCTTCGGGTTGACTTTGGGGCATAGGTGTCGGCAGTTGATGGGCTCGCTTTGAGAGCGCTGAAGACATCGTTTCGGATTTCGAAATCTGTGTCCGGGACGCATGGAGAGCGGGGCGATTTTTTTTGGGAAGTGCCACTCTACCAAACATCTGATGCGTAGTCAGGCAAAGGAGTTCATGAATGACTACGAACCTTAAAGCTAAAAGCACGAGGCTTAAACTCAAACGCCTGCTATAACCCTGACCACCAAACAAGACGGCAATCACACTTTCCGCAGCAAAGATCTGCACCCAATCCCTTAGCCCTGCACCCCCAAAGCCTCAAACACTGAACGTTACAAACCCTACACCCTCAAACCCTCCCAAAACCCAACACCATGCTATGGTGTGTATATACCCATATAAAGGTATCTGTACATATATGTGTATACATATATATATATATATACACATATACATGTGCGTATATATACATATACATATCTATATATATATATATACATATATATATATATATATATATGTAAAACCCGAAAAAGCCCCTACAAAGCTTCATGGAAGCCAATAAGACCCTACAAAGACCCCTCCAAAAAGAAAACAGTACAAACACTGTTCACAAAAGGAACTGATAAAACCCTTAAAGACCCCACAAAGCTCCGCCGGCGCGGCGTCGCGAGTGGAGAAAAGGAGATCCGCCCACGTCTCGGCCTCTCAAAGGTTCGGGGTTTAGGGTTTGGGGTGTAGGGCTTGGAGTGTAGGAATTAGGGCTTGGGGTTTAGGGTATAGGGCTTGGGGTTCAAGGTTTAGGGTGTAAGGTGCGTCGTTTCGGGTTAAGGGTCTAAAGTTTGGAGATTCTTCTCGTTTAGGGTTTGGGGCTTCGCGTTTCGGGCTTAAGGTTGGGGGTCTGGGCTTCGAGGAATCGGGTATGGGGTTGAAGGACTCGGATTTCGGGTTTGGGGCTTCGGAGTTATTTGGAGCTTTTTTCATGTACTCCAAGGAATGCTCCCGCGGCGCACGGCACGAAATCTGCTTCTTGACGATGCGCAAGATCAAGCGTCACAAGCAGTTTGCTGTCGTGAGAAAGACTTCTATGCCGACGGAAGACATTGCTGACTTTGCGCTGGTTGACCCGCTCTTGGGCCCATAGCAGCAAGTCGTACTTGCGTGCAGTAGCCCAGATAAGCAGACGAGGAGACTTGTCTTCCTAAGACGGCTTCAAAGCAGTCGCGACACGAGTCCAGCCAGTGCCGTAGCATCTCGAGGCGCGCTGCCGCTAGCTGATAGCAACAGTTTCACCGTTTCTTCCAGACAGCACTGGAACCGGTTGCAGCTTAAGGACCAGAAAGTGTGGATTTGTTGGAGTGTCGCAGCGCGAGGCCTTCAAGTATTTCAGCATGCTTTGACCGCAGACGCCAACAGAATTGAAATCGCAAATTTCTACTAGACACAGGAAACCCTAAGCCCAAAACCCCAAACGAAAATCACGGTTGTTGGTTTTGGGCGTACGGGGCCACAGGAAGGGGTTCAGAAAAAGGGTCCAGGGTTTCAGAGTCGGATCATTCCTTCCGTCGCTGGTGGGGCGGAAGGGGAGTGCAGTTCTGGGTTTAAGGCTTAGCGGCTTGGGTCTAGGATTTCTAGATAATTTTTTTTTTGAACGCCTTTTTCCTCCTAGCAGTTACGGTCGGCGGAGCCCACATTTCTGGGTAGTTTTGGGACTCTGAGTTTTGAGGTTGAGAGGTTTTCTTGGAGTTTAGGGTTTACCCAAAGAGCCTTGTACCGCACAGATCAGGAATCTTCCCTGAATGATTTGCGGGGTCGTAGTCTGATGGAAGGTCTACTGGTATGGACAAGTAAGAAGAAGAATACCCTCAGCCGATTTTAATGATAAGATACCGCAAAACCCCTTTCCAACAATTAAGGCAATGGTACCTAGGTTGGCCCTGTAAAGCCTCTGAAAAATGCTCGTAAATAGGGTCAAGGGAAAATATAAAATATCCCAAAGGCCTACCTAGCCCTAAACCCTAAACCCTAAACCATGGAAGCAGTGTCGGGGTCTCTCGGTGGGATTCCAGATTTGGAGCTTAGGGATGTAAGACCTGGACAGCCTTGCGGGTTCCGGGTGCAGGACTCAAAATCGAGAGCTTGGGATTCAGGGCAGGGCCAGGCCGTAGTTTAGGGTTTAATAATAGGGACCCTTAGGGGCGTAAGGGGGAGGGGGGGCAGGGGACTATACTTCCTTTCATGGGTGCTAAGTCCTTAGTCTAGGAATGAAGGCCCCCTACCCCCCCTCCACCTACCCCCCAAAGCGTGGGTCCCTTATGATGTAAGGGTCGTTTATGCACCTCTGTAAGACTGCACGGAAGGCTCACAGGTCTCTGCAGGTGCCACATGCAAGACTCTTCTAGTCTGGGGCTTTCGGCCTTCCGCGCTTCAGGCTCCCAGGCCCTTGTAAAAGTGCTCACGCAAAAGCCAATGCGATACCAAAAGCAACAACAATAAATGTCTGTGACAGTACTTCTTCATCACCGCTTCTGATACCGCACAACCTTGAACACTAAACCCTAAAACTCTACACCCCAAAACACGCCAAACCCTAGAACCCCAAAGCCTAAACCTCTAAACTCAGAAACCCCCAACCCCCCCCCCTCCCCCTTTCCTCCCTTTTCCCCCTTCCCCAGAGGCCTCGCGGCAGCAGCCCAAAGCCTTGCCTTGCCAGGACAGGGAGCATCCCCAGCCTGCCGCAGGGGCGACGGCAGAAAAGTGTGGCTCAGGAGGGAAAAACAAGTAAGTGGGGTAAGCACAAAGGAACGGAGAAGAGGAAGAGAGGGAGGGAGAGAGAGAGCAAGAGAGAGAGAGAGAGAGATGGAGATGCGTGTGTATATGTAGTAGTGGCTGCAGGATCTACGGCACAGGATTTGGACCCGGACCGGATGGGCCCACCGACGGCCTGTCATGAACACACGTAGCAAAACAGAGCCCTCGCACGCTTGTGTGTTTTCGGGATCGAACCCGGCAACGTGTGAACGAGTCGCGCAGCAACTGCGACCTGACCAGAAGACCGCTTGAATCTGCTTGTCTGGGCCGAAAACTCCAACCCTTCTCGTCACGCTTCAGGAAAGTATTTCCCATGATTGCAAACCCCAGAACCCTAAAACCTAAGCCCTAGGACAAACCCCAGACCTTAGACCATAAGATGAACAATAAACCCGGAACTGTCGGAACACCTGTGGTCGTGAAACCCAGCCGAGCCCATCCCAGAACTCCCTAAACCCTAAACCCCTCAACCCTAAACCCTAAACCCCTAAACCCTAAACCCTAAACCCTAAGCCCTAAACCCTAAACCCTATAAGCCCTAAGCCCTAAACCCTAAACCTCAACCCTATAAGCCCTAAACCCCTCAACCCTAAACCCTAAACCCTAAACCCTATAAGCCCTAAGCCCTAAACCCTAAAGCGGGCCCAGAACTGACAATCTTGCGCCTGACCATCGCTGCGGCGGAAAGCGCAGGAGCGCCTGCGAGTTTCTGGCGTCGGTTCAGGGTGTTTTTTTGGAGTATTATTGTTATTGTTATTGTTATTTTTCTTATTACTATTATTACTATTACTATTACTATTACTATTACTATTACTATTACTATTACTATTACTATTACTATTACTATTACTATTACTATTACTATTACTATTACTATTACTATTACTATTAGTATTATTGTAGGTTCAGGGTTTTTTTTGAGCTTTGGGCTGCTCATGCTCACGACGATTATGAGCGCCACGAGACAGCCTACCGTCCATGTGCCATTCGGAACACCTGGCGCTCCGTACCCTTACTAAACTCTGGCTATAGAAGATCCAAAATCCAACATTTATAGGAAGCCTACCATATTTATAGGGTCTGAGCCTCCCGCCGCCTCGAACGTTCCGCGAGGGAGTTCGAACACGACCCTCCCCTGCTGGGAGTTGCCAGTACGACACCCCCGGGCTTACGAATACTTGGCACCAGAACCCAGAGGTCGCGCAGGCGTTTAAGAAATTCGTGGAGACTACCCACTGCGAGGTCAGCACCGCTCCTGAAGGAAATCGGCTGGTCTGGGCTGTGGCAAGCGCCTCGGTGTTCTCAAAGTTCGTCCCCATCTCCAGGTCAAAATTGGCTTCGGCAAAGTCTTTCAGCCGCCGACGATCAATTCCCAGGTGCCCTGCACTGAACCTTGCATAGCGGCCGCCACGGTTGTCACTCTCTCCACAATGGAGGTTTAGGGTTTAGGGCTCAGGGATCAGGGTTTAGGTTAGGTACTCACTACATCGAGAGAAGCCGCGAGTGACACAAGTCATAGATGTCATAGATCTCGGGCACGGCCAGGAGGCCTACATGGAACAAAATGCACGTTCCAAGAAATTCGCCCGGGGACACAATCCTTCCACTTCCGCCTAAGCCTAAGCCAAAGCTTCTGCAGCCTGCACACACGCAGACCAAAGACCTGTCCACTGAATCAACCCGTGCACAGTTGTACCAGCAGCGATCAGTTCCGATGCTGGGACTTTTGCACCAAAGCCCGAAATCAGTTTGAATGCGATGGCCTGGCGCATGTAAGACACAAAAGGCCAGAATGCCTTTCGCGATCCATGCTCCAGCCAAAAGTCTGAGCATAACATCCCAAAATGTACCTGACCGTAGGTCGCTGCACTTGAGTCCCAATGCCCCAAACCATGCATCCGGTCCAACTCAAATACCCCGGAATCCTGAGACGTGTGTAACCTTCTCAGGGTTTAGGGTTTAGGGACCCTAAACCCTAAACCCTAAACTTCCGTCCATGCAAGCCTGAACTTCAAAATCTTGAAATCCTGCCTGCAAGTCCTCTTGTAAAACCCAAAGAGAACAGACGTCCTTGAAACCCACAACTTCACATGCGAACTCTTAAGCCCTGCTCTTGCGACGACTAAACCCCCTAAGTCCGATGTCTCAAAAACCTAAACCTTTCAAAGTCCAAGTCCTTGGGACTTTTTCAAAAAAAAAAACCTTTGGCAACCCTTTGTAGAACCCGATTAAAACGTCTTGGCAAAACCCCGCAATACCGCCCTAAAACAGTAAACCCCCAAAGGCCGCACGAAGGGCCGAAGGTGCCTCAGCCTCGACCGACGCGGGGCCCGCGACCTGCCCAACAAACTGCAGTTGGATCAGGATTTCTGAAAGAGGCGTGGTTTTTGAGGTTCGAGGCTTGCTGGGGGCGTAGTGCTTTGGGTTTGCGACTTTTGTTTTTCATGAGGAAGTGAGCCAAGGGCGACCTTGCAGAATGCGTGAATCTTCTTGCACCAGCAGTTGCAACAGCACTGCGACATGCTGGCACGGTAAACTAACTGCTGTGGCACTGGGTAAACAACAAGTAGAAAGGCTTGCAGGAGGTGGTTTGGTTGTGAACAGAACAGTGGTGTGCTGAGCGTGCTGGGCGATTCATCGCCTTGTCGGCCATTTCGCTGTGCAAAGGCTACACAGTTCATGACCTTCATGTTGATCGGCCTTCAGCAGGATGCCACACAAAAACTTGCATGCCATATGTTGCACCTATCCAACACAAGCTCCCTTGACCAGCTTCAACTGCATCTGATGCATGGTTGAAGAAGAAGCACGAATCCAAACCAGCACGGAGGTTGAGTCACGAAGAGACTGTCCACCCGGGCGACGTACAGATGGCAACTTGTGCGGCTCTCGTCCGGCACATCCGCATTGGCATTGAAAACAGTTTCAACCTCCAGCATCACCAACATGTTCACGCTTTGGGCCGTAACGACTGTAAACAGCACACGCTGCCGACGAGGCTGTTCTACGCTGCCCAGCCGCAGCTGCAGAAAACAGCGGCCGTTGCACGCAGGTGGCTTCAGGAGTCCCGCTGCACTCCGGTCTGTGCAACAGAGGTGGGAGTGTCTGAGGCAGGCGTTGCGCCAGGAAGAGGAAGCCCGAAGAAGGGAAGGCGCTGCCGTAAGACTGGGACGGGACGACACCAAACGGGTTGTTGTGCCGGCAGCAGGAGCAGCAGCAGTAGTAGTCGTAGTCGTCGTCGTGGTCGTCATCGTGTCGTGGTGGTAGTCGCAGTCTCAGTGTTGCCGTCACCCTCGCCGGCGTCTGCGTCGTCGTCGGAGGAGGAGAAGAAGAAGAAGGAGGAGCCGAAGGGCGAGGAGCAGTAGCCGCAACAACAACAACAACAACACTGACAAGCACAAAGTCCAGCGCAATTTGTACAGTACTGACAGATTGCCAGAGGTGCTCCCTGGTGTTGTTCCTAACCTCACGACTACGGTAATGCATGATCGAGACCAAACTGCAGGTATCGCTCTACATGATGCGTATCCAAAGCCGGCGATGACGATGATGATGCCGGTGATGATGGTGCTGATAATGATGAGGCCAACGATGATGATGATGATGATAACAAGAAAGATAACGCTGGTGATGATAATGAAGAAGAGCTTTGTACCGACACTATGGCTCCTGATAGTCATGTTGGTGGTAGTGGTAATGGTGGGCATTGCCACGCCTATATTTAAAAGTGATTATGGTGATGACGATGGAGCAGGTAGCGAAGACGACGACGAAAATGATGTTGCTGCTAATGACGATTGTCATGATTATGGTGATAACGGCGATAGTGGTGATGATGGTAGTGATAATGGTGATGACCATCATGATCATGATGGTGATCATGGTAGTGATGGTGGTGATAGCGATAGTGATGCTGATGGTGATGGTGATGGTGTGATGACGGTGTTGGTGGTGATGATGACGATGATGATGATGATGCTGTCTGTGCCGCTGGCGGTGATGATGCTGCTGGTGGTGGTGACGGCCACGAGATAATGATATGGATCTGGGATACCGACCACAGACAACGACCAACACGATCACTGGCTCTGCGAGTACCACTGCATCACCACCACCACAACCATTGCATAAACTAGCTTAAGACTCAACGCTTAGGCGGTGTTTCGGTTGCGTCTAGAGTCTTAGGGTTCAGAGCCGGGGCTGGAACACCAGAAGCCAGAGAGACAGGCCTGGTAGCTCACGTGAGCCCCCATGCTGCACCCCAAAGCATCACCAGTGGAAGGTCTGAAGTTTTAGGGTTTGGGGGTAAAAAGATGGCTGAAGGGTTTAAGGTTGAGGGTTTAAACTCTTCGGGGTGTCGGATTTAGGGCTTAGTTTAGGGCTTAGGCCTGAAGAGGGATGCAGGGTTGACGGTGTCTCATCGGTTTCCAGAAACCAGCATCAAGCTGTTCGCACTGCTGATTCAGAGATGTAAATACTACCGGTGGAAGTTAACTGAATGTTCATCTGTTGATAAGGCGGAAATCTAATGCCTCAGAAGAAGCGTCTGTCGCAGACTGTGTCGAAACTACTGGGCATGTTGACATTTTTTCAGTTGCACAGTTGTGCCCTAAGCTCGAGGGGAGGATCATGGGACGTAGTAAGTATGGATATAAGTACCTTAATTGGGGCTATAACTAGTTATAGGTATAGTTACCTTACCATGATCCTCCAAGTAGGCCCTACAGACTGAACTACGCCCTTGCCTTATGCTGAGGCTCCCATTTCAGCAACATAAAAACTTGGTGCTTTAAGATATTCTCGAAGACGTAGTTGATTGCTAGGGCTTCAGAATCCCAAGGTTTTCAGGTAACTGATTCTTAGGGCTTCGAAATCTAGAGCTTGAGGCAATCAAGTCTTAGGACCTTCAAATTCTGGTTTAAGTGTCGAAGGCTTCACTTCACTAGATTTCAATCTGAACGGTTTAGGGATCAGAGCAATATCTAAGCCCAGAGCTTATCGCATCGACTCCAGACCCAGGACATGCTTAGGGGGAAAAACATGTCTGGGGTCATGGGCAGCAAAGATAGTACGCATATGTGCCTCCAAACCCCAAAAAAGAATCTGTAGTAGACTCCTAGATGCATCGACCTCCTTAGGCGGTCTAGTAGCTTCCACATCTCTAAGACTCTCGAACTTCACCGCTTCATCACTTACCTTCGGTTGCCCTCTAACGCGAGCTAAGCGGGTCTTCTGCCATCTGCCGTGGATTCATCCTAAACCCTAGACCTTAAACCCTAAACGCCACCAAACCCGAATACGGACGTGTCTTGGCCCAAGACTCCCTCTGCTGCGCGGCGGGGGACGGCGGATCGTCGAAATGAGTTCGCCCTCTAAGAAGGCCCAATACTAGCTGTAAAGTGAAGCAGAAGCAGAAAAGCAGAAGTGTAGTAGGAGTAGTAATAATAATAATAGTATTAGTGATAGTAGGAGCAGTCGCGGCAGTCGTCGTCGTCGTAGCCGTCGTGGTCGTCGTAGAGTAGTGGTGGAGGTGACAGTAGTGTAGCAGCAGCAGCAGACGAAGTAGCTTTCAGCTTTCCACTTAGCGAAGAAGTACTGTCGTCTGGCGTCGGGTTCAGAGCGGGCAGATTTTATGCCCAGAGCCGGAGGGCCCATGATCTTGTGATCATCCCGGAATCACAGTAGCAGCACCAGCGCAGTAGCAGTAGCATCGGCGGTGGCCGTAGCAGTAGCAGTAACAATACTGGCAACAGCAACAGTAGCAGAAGAAGTCGAGCACGTACAGCCCTAAACCCTAAACCCTGCACCCTGAAAGCAGCTGTAAACTAGCACAGAGAACTCTGGTCGGACTTCACACTTCCGGGCTTGGGGAACGCACGCCTGTGTCGGAGCTTCCAGTGAACCCAAAACCCCACAGTCTCAACTCCAATATCCCTTAATTAAGGGATATTCCTTAAATCAAATTAAGGATCCTACTATAGTTTAAGGGATATTCCTTAAATCAAATTAAGGATCCTACTATAGTTTAAGGTATATTCCTCAATTAAAGGATATTCCTTAAATCAGATTAAGGATCCTACTATAATTTAAGGTCTATTCCTTAGTTAAGGGATATTGGAGTCTCTGGGCAGTCTCAGGACCCTAAAGTCACGAGGGAACATGTACCGGTTCACGCCGCCTGGGGCTTAAGCCTCAGGGTTCCTTTAAAGGGGTCTAGAACCCAGAGACTCCAATATCCCTTAATTAAGGAATATACCTTAAATTATAGTAGGATCCTTAATATGATTTAAGGAATATTCCTTAACTAAGGGATATTGGAGTTTCTGGGAAGGGTTACTATAAGGGATCTACAAGGGTACTATAATAATGTAGGGAAGCTTAAGGGTTTAGGGTTTAGGTTTTAGGGTTTAGGGTTATAGGGTATTAGGGTTCCTTATATAGGGGTCTATAAGGGCTACTATAAGGGATCTATAAGGGTAGTAGAGTAGTATGTAGGAACCTGGTTAAGAAACCTTGGGCCTTTCTCAGGGTTCCTTCTATGAATCCTACTCTTTTGGGGTTATAGGCCCAGGGTTTCTTAATCAGGTTTCCTACAATAGAGCTTCTGGCGTTGGACGTTGAGGTTTCATATGATGTTCTCAATGCTCGAAACCGCTATGGCACCTCCAACCAACGCCGCTAAAGGGAGGAACGCAATCTAGGTAGGGGCCTTGATAAATAGAATAGGGCTTTGGGGCCCATTAAGAACAAGGCCCCAAAAATAGTATCTGATATTATGATCCTAATAAAGAGCCCCCAAAATAGTATAGGTAAAGGTAATTATTGCCCCATTATTATACCCCATAACCCTTATAGTAACCTTAATAGGACCCTGTTTAAGAACCCTTTAAAGGACCCCGAACAGTAATTATTAAGGCCCCTATAGTATAGAACCCTCTTATAGATCAATTATAGTAACCCTTCAACCCCCACCTGAATCCTCAACGTAGGTGGTAACTACGGTTTAGAGTTTAGGGTTTAGGGTCGGGGGTTTCATGGTAGGGCGTCGAAACCCTTTTAAAGGAACCTATTCTATCTATTAAGGCCCCATCAGTAAACGCATCTTTTGCGCTCGCTGCGCACTCGCTCGTGTTGGGGTTTATTGCTGCGATGCTCCAATTCAAGCCGTGCAAGAGTTGAAGACCGGACGGTTTAGGGCTTTAGGGGTTCAGGAGTTTAGGGTTTGGGTTTAGGGTTTAGGGTTTAGGGTTTAGGATTAGGGACTTAGGTTTAGGGTTGAGGGATTTGAAAACCGGACATAAGGGGTACCTTATTTTGGGGTCCCTATAAGAAGGCTCCTACTATTTGGGGTACTATATTAGGATCCGCCATTCTCGGCGGCAAACTCCAAGATCTGAAGACGGACAGGTAAAATTTCGGGGTACGTGGGAGAATGGTTGGTTGGGTTCAACGGGCCGAGACTTAGAACTGCAAATGGACCTGAAGCTTCCAGCCTGCCACACACACACAAATCCTACTTTAGGATTAAGGTTGGCCTTTAAGGGCTTAGGGTTGCCATCCCAACAACCCAGGCAGTAGTAGTAGTAGTAGTAGTAGTAGTAGTAGTAGTAGTAGTAGTAGTAGTAGTAGTACAAAGGCTTGGTTGTGGTCTGAGGGTGGCATGGCTTAGGGTTTAGGGGCTAGGGCTCTCCCATGCAGGGGCAACAACTCGCCTGAAAATGGTGAGACTTGCTCAACTGGACCGTGGCTTTGCCAGCGGCAAGTGCAAGCATCCGGGCGACTCCGTCAACAAATCCAATCCGTATCAAAGGCTTTGGGTTTTAGTGCGTTAAAGCCCTAAATCAAGTAAACCCTCAGTCAGAAACAAAAACTAAAGCCCGGCAAACCCTACAGCCCCCAAACCCCTGATATGGGAGTTTTCCGAAAATCAGGGTACCATATTTGGGGGCCCTTATAATAAGGATCCTACTATTTAGGGTACTGTATTACGGTCCCCTATTTTCGGAAACTCCCGTATTAGAGCCCTGCAAAACCCTAGGCCACACACTCGAAAGTCGCCATCTACCTTGGCCTGGGTTCATGTCATATTCTGCGTCTGCGCCGCCATTTTCACCGCCTGAAAGGCATTACTGAGGACATGTGGGCCCCATGATTGGTGCTGGGATCTCATACGTGCATGTAGTATATCTTTCTTCTCGTAGATGAATACGAGATCGAAGTACGGCATATAGCGTCGCATCATTGCACAACCCATATTCCACTGCATTCTGCTGAAGCACAGCGAAGTGCTAAACGATTGATGCTTGATAAGCTCATCCCTTGTACCCCCTATCCCTCACAGCCTTGTCAAGAACCACCAAAGCCCGCAATTCTGAAGCTCCAAACGGCAGAAAACAAAAAACGGCAATAAGGTCCAGCGGCTAGCCCCGCGCCAAGATTACAGCATGTCAATGGGACTTGAGGTTGTAGGTAGTGGCATGTTCTTCCTACGGGTCTACTAAAAGGTAAAGGGTCATAATAATAGGTTTCTGGTGCTCTTGTCGGCCTTCTCCATAAGTGTATCACCGGGATTAGAGCCTGAAATGAGGAATCACAGAATCATAGGGAGCCTTGGAAAGAGGGGGAGGGGACTATACTTCCTTAAATAAGCCTTATTAGGTCCTTACTATGGGGCATTAAGGCCCCCTACGCCCCGTCCCCCTACCCCCCTAAGGGCCCGTATGACAGAAGCTTACAGGGTTTCGGCTCAGGCTTGGGGTTTCGCTTTCCGACTCTGGCTCAGAGTTAGATGCGTTCGGTTTGTAGATGTATTGCCGTTTCAGCCTAGGCCCCAAAACCAAAACCTAAAGCCTGAAATCCTACAACTTCTGACCAGAAGGCTCCAAACCCTGAAAAAAGAATCAGACAATCGTAAATCCTGAACCTTAGAACCAGGACCCGTCAAACCCTGAACTCGAAGAAACTGTAACAGACAGCGTCCGGTGCCTCCTTCGCCCGGACGATCGTGCGCGTGAAGGCTGCAATGTCCGTGCGGCAGCGAGTCAGCTGTAGCTGGCGCAGCAAGACGCATTCCCAAAATCAGAATTCCTATAAGGGTTACTACAGGGTGTAGGGTGTGGGGTTGGGTTCAAGGGTTTTGGGTCAGGGTTTAGGGTCAGGGCTTTGACATGTTTTGACCACGGCGAGAGGCCGAAAACCCTGAACCCTGAAGTTCCGTTCTGGGTTGTACCTTCACCTACTAGAAGCTACTTCT